CTCCAGGCTGCTGAGTCACACAGACCTGGGTTCTGGGGAGCCCCTTAGGAGGCGGGTGCTCGACCATACACCCTAGACACTGGTGCCACCCTTGCTAATTGGCTGTGCTTTAGGGGACCTGAAGGGTGGTCTCTGCTTGAAGGGGAGCTCCTTGCTTGCCAGCAGATGTGGACTGAGGGGACCAGAGCTGTCTGTGAGGCTTCGGCATCAGGGTGGGTGTCCCTCAGCCCCTTCAGCAGCTGGTAGCCTTGGAAGGGACTTGCCTGCGGGGTCGGTCACTAAGGAAGCACTTTCCATTCTGGTGTCCACTGTTGAGACAGAGAGATTCGTGAAAGAATTCACAGGGAGGATTGTAGGCAGAGGATGTTTCACAGGGAAACAGGATGGTTGGAAGCATGAGACAAGTAGGGCTTTACTCAGAAGAGAAATGGGTCCAGTGTTCCCCTTTGTCTGGGCTTATAGGACCCCCACATACCCCACTCAGCATGGGGGAGGACTGTCTCCATGTGCTTAAGCCTGGGACAGTCTCTTCTTGTGGCTCAGAAGCGACTTGCATGATAGGCATGATAGTCTCCCTGGTGTGCTGGCCTGAGAGGTGGTTTCCCCTAGGCGTATGCTGAACTTGTGATTTGATCTGGTTTAGGGACCACAGTCAGCAGTGTTCAGGGCTTACTCCTAGTTCTGTGCTTAGCAGTAACTCCTAGTGATGCTCAGGGAACTATTTGCAGTGCCAGGGATCAAACCTGAGTCAGCCACATCAAGACAAGTGAGTGCTCTCCTCTACTATCTCTCTGGCCCCTTGAACTTGTGTTTTGATTGTGGTACCACCAGCCCTCAAAGTGGAGTTTTGCTGTCCAGAGCTCATGCACGCCCAGTGAGGTTATGAAAGGTCCCCAAGGTGGTGCCTGCTGGCAACTGACCCACTGAATTTTCTGCCTCCTGTTCCACTGTGGGAAGTGGAGTATTATAGCATCAAGGGTTCCAGTGATTTGAGTACCCCCTAGTACTATTCCCTTTAGAAACCTCTTCCTGAAAGCCAGAGAAATAGTATAGTAAGTCACTTGCCTTGCATGCGGCCAACCCAGGTTTGGTCCCCAGCACCCCATATGGTACCCTGAACCTGCCAGCAGTGATTTCTTAGTGCAAAATCAGGAGTAATACCTGTGCTGGGTGTGGCCCCAAAAAAACAAAAAAGAAGGAAAGAAAAACCTCTTCCTGATCATTGCTTGCTATGAATTGATCAGGAAATCAAATTTCCCTGGTTGGGGTCTCAATAGGTTTCTAGGTAAATTAATGTAAGTTTGGGTATAGATTTTGCCATGATTATAAGAAGATACAAATGCAGGCTCTGTCTATTTGGCCATCTTGACCTTGCCCCAAACTATACTGCTACTAAATCTTTGGTCTTTGATTCAATGTTGTTGCTTTTACATTTCCCGTTAGGGGGTCTGGAATATGACCTAAACATCTGAATGTAGAAGCCTGGATTGATCCCTAACACATGACCCCTGAGGACTGCACCAGGAGGAGGCTCTGTGTGCCGAAAGTTGAAAATAAAACAGACTCATTCACATGGCTAGGTGGTGGTCCTGGGGGACCCTCATGCAACCAGGCAATGCTGGCAATCCCCAGCACCAGAGACCTGAGCAACTTCGCATCATCAGAGCCTAGCACTGAGCTGGCCGAGTATCATAGCACATGGCCCCTGGGGCCCCTCATTCACTGGGGACCCCAATAAATGAAGTTTCCTATTAAATGATCCATAAAGTGGATAGGTTTGGCCGCATCTGGCATTGCTCCAAGGTTACTTCTGGTGGTGCTCAGGGCAGCATGAGGTGACAGGAATGACCTCAGCCCTGGGAGCTCCCTCTGGCCTGAGGTTCTCTCATTTATTGCCCATAATGGAATATGGTATCTTCATGCTTTTTATTCTCTACTGTGTCCTGACTATTTTTTATTGATTGTACTTGCCAGAAATATGACCATTTTATTGGTTTTTGCAATCAACCCATTCTGAGATTTGTTAGTTCCATCTTTTTGGCTAATTGAGTCATTCATTTCTACTTCTGACTCTATTGATCCCTCCCCCCACTTCCTGTAGGTTTGCTTTATGGCTGCTGGCTGGCTTGTATGGACACAATGTGCTCTATTAAGAACCACTCACATTCCAGACCTCAGGCTCTCTCGCATCTGTGACCTCACCACCAGCGTTCCTCGACTCCCAGGCACCCTAATTCTGTATGCTCTTGAGTTCTAGTCTCCTCACCAGAATTCCACAATCGACTCCACTTGAACTCCAATCCTCTTCTCTCCGGCACATAGAGGACACAGGAAACTTTCCTAACAATCTTCTTTCTTCGTTGAACCCAGCGCCTCTGTATTGGTGATCTGTCCTGTGCCCTGGACGCGCATCTGCTGGTTCCCTTTGTCTCCTGCAGCCACGGTGGCCTGGGGGTTGGGGATGTCAGTGCCCTCTGCCATACCCTGGAACTCTCCCCGGTACCTCAAAAAGAAACTGAGGCAAAGTGAGCTCATGTTCAGAAAATAGCCCTAGCCAAGTGCAGCTGAAGGCAGGCAGGTGTTCTTGCTCTTCACTGGCTATTTATTGACCTCAGCCCACATTTCCCCATGGGGCAAAAGGAGGAAAGATGTGAAATGGGCTAAATGGATGAGCTTTTCTGCCACCTCCTGAGGGTTCCCACACAGCCAGCAGTCTCGGCTTCTCAGCAGGAGCAGGTAGAATTGTTCCTTCCAAACTGGGTCTCTGGAAATCTCATTCGGGCCCAGGTCCATACCATCACTGTCGCTGCTGAAGTACCAACTTATTCTGCACTCTAGTCTCAAGAAAAATCTGACTCCTAAAGTGCTGGCTGTTTGCTTTATGGAACAAAGGAGCCTCCAGCAGACTTGGGGAGTACAGTGCCCATTCAGAAAGAAGCCAGAGCTCACCTTTCCAAGGTGTTCAGTGTTCTGATTTACTAGCCAGGTGCTGGCTAGAGAGACTGCACAGCAGGTAGGGCATTTGCCTTCACATGGCTGAACCCAGTTCAAGCCCTAGGACCCAGGATGGCCCCCTAAGCCCAACCAGGAGTTATCCCCAAGTGCAGAGTCAGAAGAAAGCCCTGAGCACCCTTGGGTGTAGCCCCCAAAAAAGCTCTCACAGCTTTTTTTTCTGGAAGTCTATAAAGTAAAATGTATGATTAAGAACTCTTGATTCCATCAAAAAGGATCATTAATTTTCCTATGAACTAACGATCATAGTAAAATGATCATTAGTTTCCCTAGGCACGGAGCTGGGGGTTGAAAGCAGGTCCTCAGACAGTCCACACTTCCTCCAGGAGCCTCCCACTGGACAGTGGACAATGGTTGTGAAAGGCCAGAGTGCGGGGAAGGAAGCTGTGGCCTGGGCAGCACATGCTTTGGTTGCTTTGGGCCAGGCCACCTCCCAGCCCTGAGGGACTGTGACCCTAGCTGCCACTCAGACCAATTCTGATGCACCACTTTCTACTTTGTTTTTATTGATGTGCCATCAGCTCATCTTTTGCTGAGCTCACAAAACATACAGACCAGATTAGTTTCTGCTCACCACCATCCAGTGAACTCATCCCACTGATGATTCCTCTCTGCCCCTGCCCCAAGCCAATCTCCCGAGCCAGTCCTGAGTCACCTCTGGGTCCCTCAATTTTGTAGTCAGAGTCTAAAACTCCCTCTCATTCTATTTCATCATTCACTTTGTTTTTTTCATAACCTGCCTCTATGGATTTCTTTTGTGAAGCAAAGAGCCTCGAAGTTATCACATATGAAATTATTTCACCCTTTTGGCTTGAGGGTTTTTTTTTTTACTTTTTTAAAATTGTGATTTAGGTAACATGAATCCCATAGTATGAATGTTCATGGTCCTTATGTGCAGTCACTATGCCTTCACTGCCGCCAAAGCCCCCCAGAGCCTGTCTACCACAGCCCTTATGCTACCCCTCGCCCTGCTCCCAAGCACCTCTGCTCAGGAATTCAAGGTTTGTCTCCACTTTCTCTTCTCAGTCTTGCCCATCCTTCCAAAGCCTGCTTGTGTCTCTCTGCACCAGTGCTTTCAGGGACTCCCGGTTTTTGTTGGGGGTTGGGGGCTGTATTGTGGACAGTTGACAGCTGCTCTGTGAGAGTCTGATGCAACATGAGTTGTCTTCCCGATCACGGGTGCTCTCGACTCACAGATCCCCACCAGTCCTGACAAGGACAGTGAGTACATACCCCGCGTTCTTGATGCATAGGCCGCCCTGGCCCCAGCAGCTCCTGACTCCCCTATACCCAGCTCCTGCAGACAGTCAAACCTGCATCTTTAGGATCATGGCGCTTTTTTGCCTTGCTGATGTGTCTGATCTGAACTCTCCACTTCCCTAGCTACTCTCTTGCAGTAAGCTTGTCATTTGATACACGAAGAAACAAGACCCTGGGTAGCAGGCTTACCTTTCCCCTGTGTTCTGTGGGATGAGGAATGGTGTGATAAATAGAAGCCCCTGGGAAATGGGCTTTACCGAGGTGGGGATGCTGTCACGAGCCCGGCCAGTTGGTACCCAGAAGCACATGGCAAAGCACTTCCTGTGAGCCCTTATTCAATGACTTTTTGATAACAGGAATAATATATCTGAGTTTTATTCATTTAGAAATAAATTTCCATGGCTGTTGGGCTTTACATGGAGCAGCTGAACATTATTAAATATTTGGATGTCTTTCTGATCATATTTGGAATATTGATGAAAGCCATGAATTACAGGGTTCCAAGCCTGACATGTTTATTGCCTGCAATCCATTTTACAGCTCTTTCTTTTAGGGCGTAAGTTGCTGAACAGAGCGATTGTACGCTGGTGATAAAGAGAATTCCGGAGGTGCCTCTCGGCATCCCAACACCGTACCCAGATTGGGGACAGGGGGTGCGGGTCTCAGGGTTGAATCACAGGCCCTCTCCCCAGCGGGCCCTCTCTGATCAGAGCTGACTGTCCCCACAGTGCCACCCGTCATTCGTGTCTACCCAGAGGCTCAGGCCCAGGAGCCCGGGGTGGCAGCCAGCCTGAGGTGCCACGCCGAGGGCATTCCGGTCCCCAGAATCTCGTGGCTAAAAAATGGCATGGACATCTCGGCCCACGTGTCGAAGCAGCTCTCCTTCCTAGGTAAGAGCCACCCGCAGGGTCCCTGTGCTCTTCCCCTCAACTCCAAGACATCCCCAGAGAAGCAGGTGGGAGGGAAGTTTGTAAGTCAGGTGTGGGGGGCAGTGTTCCCCGATGGCTCTTGCTCATGGCTGCCCAGAGGTCCCTGGGGTCCAGGCCAGCCCCTGTTCCCTGCATCTACAGGTGGCCATCCTGGGTGCCCACCAGCCCTGACCAGGACCATGTTTTTCACACCCGTACACACAGTCACCCTGTGAAGAAAGGGAGGGGGGTTTCCCCACCAAGCAGGCCATCCTGAGTCTGATGGTCCCACAGCCAATGGGAGCGAGCTCCGCCTGGGCAGTGTGCGGTACGAGGACACTGGGGCCTACACCTGCATCGCCAGGAACGAAGTGGGCGTGGATGAGGATATCTCCTCACTCTTCATCGAGGACTCAGCCAGGAAGACCCGTGAGTCCTCCCAGGCCCTGGGGCCCCTCATTGATCTGGCTGGCGGGGAGAGGGAGGGGAACTGCCCATCAGGACCGAAGGGTCTGAAGAAAGGGGTAATGTCTCCCTCTCTGCAGAGCTGGGGATGGGGTCCCAAGGGAGCACAACTGTTTCTTGGCCACCTCAATGGTTCTGGAGACAGAGAAACTCATGTCCACAGATAGCTCAGCACTCCAGGGAAGCCTCAATTCTGTTCTATAGTAGGACCTCAAGTGCCTCCCCCTGCCCATCCAAGGGTTCTGCCACCCCGGATCTGGCCTCTGCACTTGAGCACAAGCCATTCGTTTAGAGCTGCTGAATCAATGCCAACATGTCCATCCCCGAGCAGGCCTGCAGGCCACAGGGGATATAGACTCCACATCAAGACTGTTCCCAAAGGAACGCATCAGAAGTGCTTCACAATAGGCCCTGCCCGAAACACTAGCTGAAAATTCGGGGTTTCCTGGGAGTGACCTCAGAAGGTGGGGAGGGAGGTCCTGGAGTCATTCTTGCCCATAGACCATGAGTCCTCCATTAGCAGCTGTGCTCCTGGGACTAAGCTCCATGAGAGCTTGAAATGGCCCTAAGAGCCAGGAGGTTTGCCCGCGTCCCCCGAGCTTTCTCGCTGGGCAGATTCTTCAGAGGCCCCCGTGGGATGCCTTATGCTTGGAACTGTTGCACTGCACAAAAGGTTCTAACTTGGCTTTTTCTCTCCCCCACTCCCTTTTCCCTCCATCGCATTCCCACTCTCCAAACCTGCTGCCGGGGCAGTGGCAAACATTCTTTGGCGAGAGGAAGGTATGAGCTCATGTCCCTCATGTGTATCTGTGCTAGCTGGCAGCCTGCCTTTCCCAGGGCCACTGTAGCTCTGTAAACACCAAGTGGCTCTCACAAGAGTAGGGAGCCCCAAGCCAGACCAGGTGGGAGGGGGGAGCTCGTTGTCCATCTTTGGGGCACATGCTGAGGGACAGGCATGTCACCCTCCAGTGTCACTGATGGACACGCGTCCATTCGGAATTTAAATGGGGGGTGTTTCTGTCCATGGCCCCTTGAGCCTTCCCAGCCTCAGGCTGCTGGGCCAAGGGTTCAGGGCATACCTGAACCTTAAACACTTTTCCTGCTGCTGCTATTCATGTCCAAGTGTCGCATGTGGTGTGAGGAGACGCTAAAGAGAGTATGTTTTCCATGGATGTGTGTTTGCAGGTACATCAGCCAGGAATAGATTTTTTTTTTCAATCCGCCCCTATCTGTCATTAGATGTTAGGTTGAGTCCTATAGAATTGTCATTTTTGTGGATCAGAAATGGTCTTTTGGGCCAGAGAGATAGTACCGAGAACAGGGCACTTGGCTTAGACACAGCCGACCCAGGCTCAACCTCAAGCACTACAAAGGGTCCCCCGAGCACAGAGCCAGGAGTAAACCCTGAGCACTCACTGGGTGTGGCCTCTAAACAATAACAAAAGCTCTAATTGTCACCATCCCATTGAGTTCAGAGAATAGCAGGCATGTCAGGCAGAGGGGTGACCCAGCTGCAGTGACCCCAGGGGGGCATGTGAACCCTGGCTCTAGCCCTGAGCCCCCGCACAGAGCAGAGTCCAAATCCCCTGGGAACTTCTCCAGGCAGGTGGCTGGGGGCAGGCAGGCAGCAGAGTGCACCGAGGGGTTTCTGGGCTCAAGCACTACATCTTCCTCCTTCTGACGCAGTACTTTTCCCTTCTGATTTTCCCTCAAGCCCTTGGCAGGATGTCAGCTCTCATCCAGCCTGTGTGCGCATGTACAGACCCCAAACAGTTTCCTGATAGGCACCCCCACAAAAGCTCACAAAGACCGGTGGTCAAACAAAGGCAGAGCCAGGAAACTGAGCCTCCGTCTGGAGGCATTGGGAGTCCTTGGAGGAACAAGGAATGAGGCAGAGCACCAGTTGCTAATGGGAAGACTGTCCCCTGCCCCTTGGCTCCGAGGTTGCTGCACGCAGAGAACGCTTTCCCTTCGCCTTTCAAGGTGACGCTGCAGCAAAGGCAAGCAGGGCTCAGACATCTGCAGAGAATGAGGCAGTTTCGAGGCTGTGAAATATAGACCCACAAGCCCACATGCCCGCTGAGTACCAACCCGCCAGCTCCCCAGGGGCTCCGACTGGCAGATGTGGCACTGATGTCAACCAGTGGGGAACAAACGCCCCTATGCATGGACAGCCAGATGTTGTACCCTTTGCTACTCAGACTCAAGGCCTGGAGAGGCAGAAATGCAGAAGGGGAAAAAGCAAGCACCGTGGACTCTCAGGTTCCACGGGAGGACTAAGACGACAAGGGCTTAGCTAAAGTAAAGAAAGTTTCTTCACGTCCCTTAGAAGACACTGAGCTAAGGCAGAAGCTTGCTGGGGGCTGGAGTGTGTGGCTGGGATTCCTGGGAAGTCAGTTATTTGTGGAGTGAATATTTGTTGAGCCTCAGGCTCTGCTGCCTGCTGTGAGTCAGGCACTGAGCCCTGCCTGACCCAGGGCTATTGCAGCAAGACACACGCACACTCTGCCAAGCTTGCGAGATTCTGCTGCTGCTTCCAGCGATCGATGTCCCAAGGGGCCCTGGTAGGCTATTCCTGGGGTCCCAGGCTTCCACGGGTAGTTTGCTCACACACACACCCTCCCCCACCACTCGCCTGCCAGGTTGAGTGAGACAAGGTCCTGCTGTGGGGAAGAGAGAAGGAATCAGAGCTAACACCTGCCATCACGCCTCCCTCTGAACACCAGAGATTCAGTTGGAGGGCACTCACGGTGCTCAGCTTTGTCTGGTGCTTGAGGCCAAGCTGACCAGCACCCCAAGATTTCAGATTCTGCAGAGCTTTGCAGTTTGCCCCAGACAGTCCCAACTTCTGAGAGGCAGTTGCTGAGCTAGTGCAACACAGCACAGTCCTAAGGCCTGGAGGCTGCTCATGGAATCAGGTTGAAGTCCACACTTGTACTTCAACACACCAGGGCTCCAGACCCACAAAACTGCCTGCAGACATAGTAGCAGCAAGCAGAAGATCAACTCCTGTTTGATGTTGGTGTCCTAACCCAGTCAGTGAAATCAGGACACAGGCCTGCCATGAAAGGGTCTTGCACGCACTGTTTCCTTAAATCTGTAGGAATAGTTCACTTTCAAAAGCAAGGAGAGGAGGAAGAGAAGGAGGGAGGACTCTCATCTGCCATGGATGCAGCGGGAGGAGTGAAGGATGGTCCCACCCCAGCTGGAGCACTGGTCTCCGCCAGGCCACTCCCCTCATGGGTCTCCCTTTTTTTCTCTTTAAAATAAGGTGTCTGAGTCAGCTGAGATGATTTCTTCCCAGATGCCCCACAGTTGGTGGGGGGTGGGGGGATAGGATGGGGATGGGGCATGAGGTACAGAGGTTGGAGCAAGTTACCTGGAGCTGAGGTTCACTGGTTCAGAGAGGCCAGGCCCAGGTTTGGACACAGAAGAACTTGTCACAAATTCCTAAAATCCCACATTCCAGGAAGTAAGGCTAAAGGAGGTAAGACCATGGGGAGGGCGCTTGCCTTGCACACAGCCAGCCCAAGTTGGGTCCCTGACATTCCATATAGTCCCCTGAGCACCTCCAGGAGTGAGCCCTGAGTGCAAAGCAAGGAATAACCCCTTGAGCATTACAGGGCATGGGCCCCAACAAAAAATAAGAGCTTTTGACCATGGTTGTAGCATGGTGGTAGAATATTTGCATGTGTCCAACCCTGGGCTGAATCCAATGCACCACAAAAACAGTTTTAAACTGAAATAAATAAGTGACTTTAGTTTGGGGGCATCATCCATTGTAGTGTCTCCTAGGGTAGGGGGAGCTGCCTCTCCACCCTGGGGCTCTGGAATGATCCTCAGATACAATTGAGAGGCATTTCCTGCTTGTTTGCTTAAAGAAGGTAGAGTTCCAGAAGGACACTAAGTGATTTTATTTTTTCCTGAACCAAGGTTAAAAGCTAGCCCTAGCTGACAGGGATGGCATGTGCTGTGTGGTAGAATCATAGGCCTGCATGTGCTGTGCCATACTATCCACGGTCTTCCCTGGGCCATATCACACACCACTTTCACCACATACCCCCAACACCCACCAAAATACACCATCAACACACACACACACCCCAACACTCACCCACATACACACATCAACAATACATACATACACCCCAACACCCACCCACATACACACACAATACCTACAGATATACACAACACTTACCCACATACACACCAACACTCACCCACATAAACACATCGCCAATACATACCCACCCACAACACTCACATACACAGACCACCAGTACACACACCCCAAACATCAGCACATACACCCTGCACACCTCTCTCCCACCTTGGCGGTACTTGGGCTCTGCACCAAGATGCACCTGGAATGCGGATGGGTGAGTGGTGGTGGCCGCCAGGGGGCGCTGCTAGGATCACCCTGACGGGGCTGTGCTGGTTCCTCCCAGGCCTCAGTGTGGGAAATGTGTTCTACGTCTTCTCCGACGATGGCATCGTTGTCCTCCAGCCTGCAGACTGTGAGATTCAGAGGCACCTCAGGCCCACAGAGAAGATCTTCATGAGCTCTGTAAGTGTCTGTGCTGCGGGCAGTTCCTCTGTCCTACTCACCAACTCCCTCAGCCAGGACTGTCCCCAGGGCACCTGACTCCTGATCCCCCAGGGCTGCTCACCCTGTGGCATCCAAGGCCTGGGGCAGAGGAGGCGAGAGCTGCTCTGTGCCCACGCACAAGGGACAGCTGGGTCTCTGAGAGACAGGCAGTGCCAACAGCTAGCTGCCCCCCAGGGCCGAGGGAAGGCCTGTGAGGGCTGCCAGGTCATCCCCGGGGGCTCTCCAGACAGAGGACAAGGCCAGGGAAGGCTCCTGACTGGCGCTGGTGCCCAGCCAGGGTGCAGATTCCATGTGGGAATGGAGTTGGGAGAAAACACCATGAAGCACAGACGCAAGGTATGTGTGACGCAGGAGGGCAGGGTGGAGACGGGAAGGGCCTGAGGTGAGGGGTGAGGTGGGCTCTGATAGACTCCTGACAGCTCTGGCAGCCCCAAGGGAACTGCACAGGGAAGCTGGTGGTGACTGTTGCAGGCCATAGGGAGGGCATTGATAGGGCCAGGCTTCAAGGCACAAGGGTGGGGGAAGAGGCTTCCATGATGATTGGGGGCAGGCGGGGAGCAGGGCTAAGCCAGGGTAGTGGGGAACGGGCTAATTCTTGTCATAATGGGCTCAGTACCAGGGCATGGCCAGGTGCCAGACAGGGGGGCACCCTACACTGAGAATGTGGCTGGCCTTTGCTGAGCCGGAGAGGGCTGTGGGACCATATAAGAACTCTACAGAAGGCAGGAGAGGAAAGGGGGATGGTGAGCCAGGGAGAGGGACCCTGGAAGTCCAGCAGGACACAAATAATCATCAGGATGCTGGGAGACATCAGAGTCCCCAAGGAAGGGGTGCATTGCCTGGTGATAGAGTTGGGGAGCATGGTGATCTGGGGAGCTTGTTCAGGGATCTCAGGGACAAAGCATAGACACATGTTCCCAGAGCTGAGGTTGGGCATTGCTACCACCCATGCAGGGGTCAGTGACAGCAGGAGACTGGATATACTCCCGGGCTGTGTGTCCCCTGCCCCCCACTGCTGGAGATCAGCTGGGGGCTCTGTGCCTCCAACTGCTATCCCATTTGGCCTGTCTGAATGGCTTTTTGCATGAACCTGGTGCTCCTCGGGGCCCAGTACCCGCCCCCCCCCAAAAAAAGTGTGCACAGCCTGGCCCTTCCAGGCCTCTCTTTGAGGCCTCACAGACAGTGAGCCAGGAGCTGCTGGGGAAATAGGCCAGCACATTCCTGAGCCATTCCTGAGCCAATGTGTGGCGTGGCCATTCTGCCGGGGGGGTCACCGGGGCTTTGTATTTCTCTGGTGTGTAGCTCGGGAACAGCTGTTTTCCAGGCTATTTCATCTGCATTAATCATTTTTTACAGCATTACCTCTGATGTACTTTCCTGCCCCCTAACAACCGTGAAACCATCCGAAAGATGGGGTCCTAGTTAATTTCTAGCACTTAACCTTAAATAATGGCGCTCGGTCACTTTGGCACTAATTTCTTCTATATTTGCCAGTAACCCATAACTCAGGGGAAATCTCTTAAATCCAAACCAGGGCTTAGTCATCTGGGCTAAAGACACCAGAACAGGAGACAGGGAGAGGTTGTGAACATCAGACCATGGGACAGTCCCAAAGAATGGTTTTCTCACACGGAAAGCACCTGTGCACCTCAAGGGCTCAGAGGTGGGCAAGGATAACAGGAGATATAGTTCAGTTGCCGTGGCAGGCTCTTGGGAGAGATGGGGATCCACAGTGAGGCCAGAGATTGAGGGCATCTTGTTAGGGCCTGGCAGCTGGTGGTGAAGGGCACCCAGATTGAGGTTCATGCCTTTGTGACACATGGGTGAGACATCTAGGGAAGAGGGACGGTCCAGGTGGAAACTGCAGAAAGTGGTTCTGAGCTAGTTTGGGCTGGGAGCAGGACTGATGTGAGCACAGTGGGGGCTGCCAAGCTCCCCCGGGCAGAGGCAGCAGGGGGTGGGGTGCAGTTGATGTGGTCGTTGAGAACAGAACTCCAGTCCTCTGTGGTCAGGGGCAGCCCAGGAGCAGCCACAGACAAGATGGACTGGGTCAGATAGGGGAGGGAAAGCCTGAGCGAGCAAACCATGTTAGGCTAAGGAAGAGAAGCCCCCTACACAGCCTGGCCAGCCTTCAATCCATGCAGCACCAGAGGCATGCCAGGCTCCGTGCTAGGCACTGAGACAGAGCAGGGCACTGGAGACCCTCTCCTGTTACAGGCAAAAAGGAGAGCCAGAGCCCAAGAGGCTTCCGGCCACATGGTGGGTGGGAAGGGCAGCGTGAGAAGGCTCCTGGCAGCTGTCCAGGGCACAGCAGGCCTGGTGGGGTCAGAGTCACTGGCAGAGCTATGAGGCCTGCAGGGTACATGATGTCGGAAGAATAGCCCCACCAAGGGCCCCCGGGAAGGAACCTGTGCAGGGTAAGGGGGAGAGAAGCCAGGGGCCAATGGCCAGAGTCTTAGAGACTTCCAGAAAGACCTGGACTCCCATCCCACCCCCAGAATAGGGTGTTAGTGGGCTGGAGTTTCACAGAGGAATGCACAGCTGCTGAAATGAGCTCCCCAGGGCTGCAGGCCAGTGTTGTACTCAGCAGGCGGCTCTGTGGGGCCTGTCCAGCAGGGAGCAGGCACCAGCGTGCACATGCTCTGTCGCTCGCTCTGGTGACTGGCAGTGTGGCTTGAGTCAGGATGACAGGGTGGAAGGCAGAGGGCAGAGAGGCAAACTCTGCATGTGTTTTTGGAAGTAAAGCTGAGTCTGGCACCCAGGGCACAGGGAGGCGGTGGGATAGACCCGAGCCTTGGGCAGAGGTGGGTGGTGCCGGGCGCAGCTGCCTGAGCACTGAAACAGGTGGATCTGTCCAACATAGACTTCAACTTTAACAGTCACCAGCTAAGCTGGTGGCTTGCGGGGTCCAGAAGAGCTAGAGACCCTCCATATGGGTTTGGAGGGTGTCTTGGGAGAGCAAATGGTGGGGATAAGAGAAAACGTAGGGTGGAGTTTTGAAGAAAAAAAAAAAGTCCAATGTGAATCCTGGGCCCTCAAATATTGATCACCAACCTGGATGGGGTCACTGCAGAGGGCAGGAACCAGGCACAAGGACCAATGGTTTGCCCAGGTTCAAATGACATGCTGGTGAGACTTTCATGTCATAATGGAGGGCATCAGCCTGGACCATGGGAAGAGGCTGCCTGCTGGAAGGTGACGTGCTCAAACCAGTGGCTTGGAGCAGATGAGCAGACAGGGAAAAGAGAGAGCATGGGGAAGGTTCTAGAAGACCTGGACATTGACAGGAGTGATTTCTGTGATGGGGTGAGGGAGAAGGTGCATCAAGAGGATCAGACTGTGGGCCTGGCTGCTGGAGACGATGCAGAGGGAGCCATCAGCTCAGGAAGGTCCATGGGTCATGTTCACAGGTGCTAGAGAGAGTGAAGAGAGGTTCCGGCGCTTGCCTTGCACACAGCAGATCCCAGTTTGATCGCTGGCACTGCATATGGTCGCCCCAGTATTGCCAGAAGTAAGCCCTGAACACTGCTGGGTATGGCCCCAAAACCAAAAAAGGGACTTCTCTGAGAGGGGAAAAATGGCTGGTTCTACAGTTCTAAACCAGCCTGTGATCTCTGCAGGAAGAAATCTGCCCTCCAGGGGATGGTGAGGCCCTCCAGCCATGCCAGTGGGCATCAGCCGTGAACGTCAGGCACCGGTACATCTATGTGGCCCAGCCGGCACTGAGCAGAGTCCTGGTGATCGACGTCCAAGCCCAGAAGGTCCTACAGGTACATCTCTCTATGGGAGGGAGCTGGGCTTTGGGGTAGGGATGCACACAGCCTGCCACTCTCCTGCTTTCTGCATGGTCCCAGGACATCTGACCAGAAGGGCAGGGGTAAGGGACAAAGAAAACTCCTGTGTGAGCACTGTTCTAGGAAATTAGCCATGCATTGTGCAAGATGCGCCTTCTAAACAGACCCAGACAAAGTTAGAATCCCAGGGAGTTGTGTGTAATAAACAGGATTTATTGGTTCTGTGTGACAAAGGAACCAGACATGGATTGTTAAGTCAGCCTGAATATGCAATCTGGGCCACAAGTGGAATTCCCAGGTGTTGGGGGCAGAAAGATCAGAAGGGTCTAGGCCGAGGTCTTGTGGGGAATTTGTGGGGGGGCGGGGAATGACCTCGTGTGATTTCCCAAGTGTTCGTGTCAGTCTAACTGCAGTGCTGAGGTCCCCAAAATCATCCAGGCAAGAAAGGATGGCAAGAAGCCATCAAGATTTTTGTGTCACACTCAGGGCAATGCTCAGGGGTTACTTCTGGCTCTCCACTCAGAAATCACTCCTGGTGGTACTCGGGGGGGACCATATGGGATGCTGGGGGTGTCGAACCCAGGTCAGCCGCATGCAAGGCAAATGCCCTGCTATACTATTGCTCTGGCCCCTCTTGATTCTTTCTTAATATACCAAACCCAAGAGTTACTTTGTTGGATTGAATATGAGGTCTGAGCAATAGAAATCCTTGCTTTAAGTTTTAAAAACATCAACAAAAACTGTCAGACAGCAGAGTACTCTACTCTGTGCAGGTGACCGAGGAGGGGCCCAGGGAGTCCACCTCCATGGCTTTGCAATGGGGCAGGGCCTGGGGGAAGGTATCCAGGCTAGCCCTGAATGCAGGACTAGGTGTGTCCTTTGCTGGAACAAGAGAGTTAGATATGTGAGGTGCTGAGGCAAAAGGACTCCAAGGGACTGACTGGAGGGGAAGAGGGATGACTTGGGCACAGAAGTGGTCAGTGGCACCATCGGGCATTTGCTGGCTGACACTGGCAGGAACACAGCAGCTGGAGCAATGCAAGTCTGAGCAAGTGCAGGTGGTAAGTACAGACCATCCTTGTGAGTTTTGCTGCAAAATTGAATAAAGCTGGATGCACCGGGAAAAGGATCTAAGGAGAATGTCCACCTCCCCAGGGAGCTTAGTCTAAGGGGCTAAGGCATATGCAGTGCCTGAGCCCCCTACCCCACTCCTTCAATTAATCCCTTGCATGTACCACAAGATCCAGAGTACCACATCCTCAGGCCCTCCCATTGAGTCCAAGAATCTCCAGGTGTGGTCCCTGGGACCTACTTAAGAGACCTGCCACCCCTCTCCCCAAATTTTTTTAACCTCTTCTTCCATCTCTTCCACATTGTTAAATCAGGTAGGAGTCAACTCCAGGCCCCACAGTGGCTGAGCAGGAGTGAAGTGGGGGTCCAGGGTGGCCACTGAGAGGATTATCTGATCCTAAATCTGAACTATTTGCCCTAGCAAAAAGCAAGTTACTTTGTTGGATTGAACATGAACATATGGTCAGTGTTTTCTACACACACACACACACACACACACACACACACACACACACGGTGCAGTGCTGTACACCTCTATATTTCTGTGTGTCTGTATAATATTGTAAATACGGTCCAGTTCCCTCACAGTATTGATTCTTCGTCAAAGTGAGTTTTTTTTTTGTGCAGTGATTGTAGCTCTGAGTTAGTTTCTGTCTTAAATTGTAATCCTTTCCTAGGGACTCTTTTATTCTTTCCTCTTCATCTCTGGCAGTCCCTCTCACCTCAGTCTTATTTTTGTCTTAACTACAAGCATGGGATAATTAAGTCAGATTTATTTTGATTAGTGTTAAAGTGGCATGATTTTTCTATCCTTTAAACCTTTCTCTGGCCATACAGTTAGGGCTTTTTTTATAAAGCCTCCAGTGATTGGGTTTGGGTTTTATCTAGTTTAATAATCTTGTTCTTTTACCTGGAATATTTGATCCATTCATATTACATAATGTGCCTGACTATCATGTTCTTTGTATTCATTCTGATTTGGGGCTTGCAGACATTCTTGAATTCATCTTCCATTGAAGGAAAAATTCTCAGCCTTTATTCTTTCAGCTATTCTGTGGCCTTATACTTGTCTCTGGGAATTCTGTTTAAACAAAGAAATAATAATACAGGTTAGAGCATTCCTTAGTGTCCCCCACATCTCTATCCACTTCACTCTGTTTGTGTTCTTGCAGCCTCTCCACTCGGCCCACCTTCTGCTGCATCTTGGAGCTCTGAGAGAGCCTATGTATGATGAGTTCATTCTGTTGGGTTGGCACAGTCTGCATCGCCACTTTGATTGCCAAACACCCCACATGAGGAAGTGCAGAGACTCTCGATGGCTCTTAACCATCCCTTGCTCTGCCACAATGTATTTCTTATCAAAGTATCTGGAGATTCCCATTTGTTTCCCAGAGATGTCTTGTTAACTTAGGGCTTATTTATGTTGCTAAAATGAGATCAATATCTTGCATTCCCGCTCAGGCTGGTGGGGGCTGTCTAAGACAGTTTAGAGTACATACATATTTGACCATTGCCAAGACCCAGCTTGTTTGGTCCAAGGAATGCCCCTCAGAAAAATGTGGGTTCCCAGTCTTAAGGGGAACCCCCATAAATTGCAGATATGTTTAAAATGTAGGATCTTGATCACTTGATCACCTGACATCCCGTTACTCACCGATTTGCTCAAGTGGGCACCAGTAACGTCTCCATTCGTCCCTGTCACGTGCTAGTGTAGCCCAATGGCATCTGCTTGCTCCAGGAACACGAAGAACCTCAAACTGATCGTTCAGGGTCTTGATGAAGAAGTTTGACCATCTTGTAGGTAGGTGGCCACGTGATCTTTTGACATCCCGTGGAATCCAGTTGGTGATGGCTCTAGTCCAGCGGTTATCTCCAAATCGCATTACGTGTCCAGCCCATCTGATTTTCGACGCCTTGGCAAATGAGATAGCATCCCTGATTCTTGATCACTGACGGAAGTCAGAACTCCAGATTCTTTCTCTCATTTGAGTGAAGCGTGATACTCCAAGCATAGCTCTTTCAATTCCTCTTTGGGAGAGCCGAATAGCGTCCTCATCCTGTTTTCATAGGGCCCAGGTCTCTGAGGCATATGTTAATGCAGGAAGAACAGTGGAATCGAAGAGGTGTGATCGGAGCCGGAGGTTCTTCATCCTCTTAGCTATTTCTTCGACGCTCTTGAAGGTGTTCCACACCGCTCTCTTCCTCCTGCGCAACTCAGGTGCCAGGTCATTCGTCATGTTGACTTCTCGACCTAGGTACACATAACTGTTACATTCGAAGATGGTCGTTCTGTTGAGAGCAAATGGAATGTCAGGAACGAGACTGTTTCTCATAAACATTGTCTTCGTGAGATTCAGCTGTAGTTTGACCTTTCCACACTCACGGTCGAAGTCGACCAGCATTTGTGCCACTTGGCTACTGTTTGGTGTTATTAGAACGATGTCATCAGCAAAGCAGAGGTGGTGTAGTTGCCGACCATCTATCTTCACTCCCATTTCTTCCCATTCCAGTCATCGCATGACATTCTCAAGCGTGGCACTGAAGAGTTTCAGTGAAATGGTATCACTCTGCCGAACCCCTCTCTTGACATGGATGATCACTTCCTTGTAGAATGGTAAGATCCTGGTAGTGAATCCATAATACAGATCATGGAGGATCCTGATGTATTGAGTTTGAATGCCCTGTTTGACTAGGGCTTTGATGACCACTTCAGTCTCAATAGAATCAAAGGCCTTCTTTAAATCAATGAATTTTAAACAGAGTGGCATCTTCAACTCCCGAGAAACCTCAATGAGCTTGGTTATAGTGTGGATATGGTCGATCATGCTGAATCCTTTGCGGAACCTGGCTTGCTCACATGGTTGTCCTTCATCTAATGTTCTGTCAGTCCTATTCAGGATGACTCGAATGAAAACAGCTTGTAGATTACAGACAACAGGCAGATCGGATGATAGTTGCCAATATCGTGGATATCGCCCTTCTTGTACAGTAGTACAGTCCTGCTGGTTTTCCACTGGGATGGAGCCTTGCATTCAGACAGGTAGCATGTGAAGAGCCGAGCCAAAAAAAATGTAGGACAGCAACAGCTAAAACAGAGCCACTCCTGGCAAGGGGAAATCGAGGCTGCCTCTTTCAGGGTGATTCCATCACTGCATTGTGGGGGGGGGGGGGCAGGCTGGTAAAAGCCAGATTCAGAGGCACAGGGCAGGGTAATGCTGAGGTTATGCAGGGTGGTCTAGCAGGGACAGGCCGGCACAAGGCACACTCTGAAGGGCACAGTGGATCTTGGCCTCTGGGTAGCCAGATGAATACAAGCTCCCACAGGAAAGGAGTGTGGGAGAAGTGAATTCAGGGCTCTGTTGTCACCCTCCCCCCTCACCCAGATGTGGAGCAGGGGGCTGGGAGCACTTGCCCAGAGACTTATGAAACTCCTCCTTACTGTAGAAAGCTGGAAGTCTCTGTGTTGAGGCCTTTGACGTGATAGTCTGGGTCTCCTTTGAGTAAACTAGGCCAAAGAGAGAGAGAGGATTCATTTCATTTAGCATGATATTCTCCACAGAGGCGCAGGGGGTGGGAAGGGGTAAGGATGAGGGGAGGGATACTGGGAACATTGGTGGTGGAGAATGGGCACTACTGGTGGAGGGATGGGTACTTGAACATTGTTTGACTGAAACGTAATCATGAAAGTTTGTAAGTCTGTAAGTGTATCTCACGGTGATTCATTAAAATAAAAAATTAAAAATTAAAAGATTAAAAAAAGAAAGAGGAGAAGTTACACCAGTGTTTTACCCCTGAGGACACAGGAGGCACTTTCCAGCCAGCAGAGGCTCACAGAACCCTCCGGCCCACCTTCTCTCTTGTTAGCTTCTACAACTGTGACCAACCTGTCACTCTTTGCTCAAGTCCATAGGTGTGGACCCTGTGCCAGATAAGCTGTCCTACGACAAGTCACATGACCAAGTGTGGGTCCTGAGCCGGGGTGATGGGCCTAAGTCCCAGCCAAGCCTCCAGGTAAGTTGAACACTGGGGGCTGACTGCCCCCTCAGACTTTCTCCCTTGCTACCAAACATCTGTCCAGAGAGACACAGGTAAGACCAGTCCATCATGGATAATTAGCAGGTATTTCAGCCTGGCCTGCAGTGAAAAGGCTGCTGTGGGAGCACCTCCCCCCCGCCCAATTCCTGCCTTTCTTGGTGTGCAGGCAGTGAGAAGGGAGACAGAACTTTCTTCCCCGCAGGCTGGGTGTGCCAGGACTGAGCATCAAAGGGGGTTGCAGCCCACATGGGGAACGTCCACCCCTGTCCCCACTGTGCTCGGCTCAGCATGATCATCCCTTTTCTTCAATTCTTCCAGCTCCAGGCCAGTAACCATTCTGGCTCCACTGATATTAATCACAGACAGTGGACATTTTGGGGGTTAACTTTCTCCTAGAATCAAGGAGGCTACAGACGGCAGCTCCTGGACAACCTTTCACCTCCTCTAAACTGAGATGCTTTCGAGCCTTGACAAGGTCACTCTCCGCTGATGGTCCCTGTAGCAGTGCCAAGAAATCATTTAAGGGAATGCCTGGGGAAAGGTCACCAAAATTAATTTCTGGAATCAAAAATGAGTTTCAACCTTGAAATCGCAGTAGCTGCATTTAAAACAACAACAACAACAACAAAAATGCACAAAATACCAAAACACAAAAGAGGACCTTCGAGAGACTAAAAGCACAAAACTCTTCCAAACCATAGAACAGTTGAAGAGGTTGGAGTCTCCAAAGTTTCAAAAGAGCAAAGCTAACAGTTATCCTGGAATCCAACATTACATACATTTAAAATTTCCAAGCTGAGAGAGAGCAGTTTCTGTGCAAGTGAAAAGAGCAATCGAGTTCTAGTCCACATGGGGGAAGATCAGAATGCCACAAAACAAAGGGAAAACATTTCCAAGCAGGAAGATGCTATTAGCTGTACAAACAGCCAGATTGGCATTGCACATCTCACCCACGAGTCCCACTCAGGAAAGGTACTAGTGACCCTTGAGGGGCTGGAGTGATAGTATAGCGGGGGGGGGGGGGGGGGGGGGCGGGGGGCATCTGACTTGCACATGACTTACCCAGGTTCAATCCCCAGCTCCCCCCAAAAAAGTAATGACCCTAAAGAAGGGCTTAACTAAAACAAAGGTATTTGAGGGAAGATGATCCAGAAGCATCTAGTAAGCGCTACATAGGATATTTGAATTAGGAGAGTCATGTCTACCAGGCTGTATGTAGCTAAAAACAAATTAACACAGTCAACATGCGGGAGGGGCAGGGCACGCTTTGCATTCATGGTATCATAGTTCTATCCCACAATGAGTGGAGGAAAGAAAAGTAAAAAAGACAAAATGTGTGAAAACAGTTTAAAGGTGAAAACAGATTGAGCAGCTCAGGCTTAAAGAAGAAAATGAGGCTCAGGTGGTACAGCACATGCCTCCCACAATTTTTTAAAAGGTGAAAAACAGCTCTACTTGTTTACAAGAAACACACCTAAAGCGAAGTGATGGTAAAAGATTTCATTTAAAAAGGTGGGAATGATGAAAGCTTCAAATAGCATAAGAGCCTCATGTGATAAAGGACCAATTAAACCAAACATACGATTAAATATATAAAGCAAGCAGAGTCAGGGAAAGTTGAGTAAGGAATATGGGTCTAACAAGCACAGAGCACATAATGCAGAAGCATATAGACAGAATTACAAGGAAAAACAACAAATTTTGCAAAAATAGAAATTATCAGCTATGTTATCTCACCATTAAAAAATAAGTAGAACATGGACCTGAACAATAGTACAGCAGGTACTTGCATGCAGCTGACCCAGGTTCGATCCCCTAAATCCTATTTGGTCCCCCAACCACCACCAGGACTAACCACTGAGTATCTCAGGGCGGGGACCAAAAACATAAAACCTGCCCTAGTAAGAAAACACTCCTAAATGGCCATCAAGACAAATGGAACTTACAAATTGCCTCAGAAGCTACCTATGGGATGCATCATCCTCCACATGTGGGGCCTCTAGGGGAAGTAGTGCCTTAAAGCCTGCAGAAGAAGTCGCTTGGGAAATCAACAAAAAGACTGGAAGTAACAAAGAACAAATTGAGACATAAGTAAATTTTTCACAAGCCTGATTACAGAAAGAGACAGGAGGAGGAAAGAGAGTGTGCACTGTACAGATACAAGAGGGACAGTTTAAAACCTAGAAAGAATGGATGATTGCTTACAAAATGTAGCGGAAAAACACTGATTGATCTATGGGAAGCCTGATTTGGAGCAATTGCCACAGGAAAAGGCTTTTATGGAAAACTGTACAGCTGGGACTAAAGCAAGAGCACAGCACGTAGGGCATTTGCCTTACATGAGGCCGACCCAGGTTTAATCTCTGACACCCCATATGGTCCTCCGATCCCAGCATAAGATCTGAGCACTGCTCAGTGTGATTCAAAATAAAAAAGAAAGAAAGAAAGAAAGAAAGAAAGAAAGAAAGAAAGAAAGAAAGAAAGAAAGAAAAGAAAAGAAAGGAAAGGAAAGGAAAGGAAAGGAAAGGAAAGGAAAGGAAAGGAAAGGAAAGAAAAATGTATAGCTTGGTTTTCTTAGGCCTTCAAAATATAAATTTAATGTTATTGGAACAGTCTCAGACCACAAGAGGGAATGATAAATGAACATATAAAAACAGGAATAGGGAAATGACTCATGGGTACAGGCCTTGCATGCACAAAGAAGGACCTGAATTTGATGCCAGGATAACCCTACTGGCCTTTGAGCTGTTGGATCTGAGCACTAAACCAAGTATTTATTTAATTATTGCTTTTGGGGTCACACCCGGAATGCACAGGGGTTACTCCTGGCTCATGCACTCAGGAATTACTCCTGGCGGTGCTCGGGGGACCATACAGGATGCTGGGAATCGAACCCCAGGTCGGCCGCGTGCAAGGCAAATGCCCTACTGTGCTATTGCTCCAGCCCCCAAGTATTTCTAGGAGTGACCCCCAAGCCTCTAAGCACTGTTCCTGAGGCCTAAAAAAATACATAAAAATAGGGGGATGGGGATTTGTATCTGTTTATATACATGCATGTATATATACATGCATATATAAATAAAACAATGATCTTAGGAATGCAGAAACAGACTAGATTGGATTAGAAATAGTCCAGTAATGTATCTAAATGCCCAAGCAGGGAACAAATTCCCAGGAAGCAATGACAGGCATTCACTCTCAGGAAATCAGGGAACATTCTTCAAAATAACAACAGGGAGGAAAAAAAAACCTATGCTATTTTCAGTACATGCTAGAAAATCCTTTAATTCAATAACAGCAGACATTCCACACCAAAAAAACAACAACAACCCCCCCCCCAAAAAAAAAACCTAAGAATGTGAATAGGAAATTCCTTAAACAGAATGAAGAACACTTCCCAGAAACCAAGAGTAAATTCTGCCTAAATGACAAAATGCTAAAAGCATTTTCATTAATATTAGGAATGAGAGCATAATGCCTGCCATCATCATAATCAGAAAGACTAGGAAATGTGCTAGGACAAGAAAATGAACTAGATTGCCGGAACTTGCCTTCATCACCGTGGGCCGGGCGAGTGTAATAAGTACTTGGAAAAACTGCTCCCAGAAAAAATGTCAACCAGCAGGGCCAGTGCTCTGAGCAGCCAGGATAGGTGAACCAGAACCTCAGGACAGTGCTGTTGACCCAGCAACTTCCACAACCCCCCACCCCCCAAGGCCCCAATCACCGAGACTGAGAGATTGCACCGACTCTCCCTGTTTCAGCATCCTTTACATTGGTATTCGATATGCCAAAGACAGTAACAACAAAATCTCCAATGGAGACGTTACTGGGCCCGCTCGAGCAAATCGATGAACAACGGGAGGGCCTTTACCTTTCACCTTTACATTGGAAAAGCACTGAAAACCATGTCCTCGCGACTGCCTGTAACTGGGGCCCACTCCCTGCAGTATCCAGGTAGGGGCCTGTGGGAACTTCACCCCTCCAGCACTTCTCCTCTGGGGATTCTGAGCCCACCCTAACTAACTGCCACGTGGCCTGAGGACTCACATTGCTTGTGTTAACCAAGCTGACCTATTAGAGGGGAGGTCAGCACTTCCCCCTTGGACACGGGTGTGTGCATGGCCCACTGGCAAATGAGGCTGACTGGGCTTCTCTCCTGGGGGTCAGTGGCCAGAGTAATGCATGCTGGTTAAGGAACCGCCGGGTGTAGGAGTGGTGAGGTGAGACCATGCTGGCTGCTGACAGCTGTGCTTCTCCATCTCTATTAGAGGTGGAAATGACAGGCCTGGGATCAAGCAGGGCCCAGTGTTACTGTATGGAATTCTCTGGCCTTTTCCCCTCGACACTCTCAGATCCGCTTTCCTAATGCTGCTGTTTCCTGACCGCCCCATGCTATGCATTCCCCCCCCCCCCCCCCCCCCCCCCGCGGGCTTGCCAGAGAAGCGTCTTTGGGCCATTTTTTTAAATCATAGGAAAATAATCTAATGGAACGTTAGTGCTTCAGAGCCGCCAGGACTGGGAGTCCCGACTCTCATCACTCCATTCCAGCACTGGCCCCCTGGGAAGTATCTGAGAGAAGCCCACTCTAGCGGGAGCAGCAGGCCAGGTGCTGTTTGTTTGGCCCTCAAAGCAAAATGAGAAGGCAGGGCCATTCCCCAAGAGGGGAGGCAGCCAGCACCACAGGCCTGAAGACACAGGCTGGGCCAGGCTGTGCAGGTCCAGCCCCTGCCTGTGTGTACCAGACCCCTCCCCCGCACCAGAAGAAGCCCCTCGGTCTCTACCTCCTCCTGGCTGAGTGTAGGCTGAAGGCTGGCAGGGGGGGTGAAGGGGGAAGGGGGTAGCTCACAACCTCCCCCTTCCCTGAGCTGGCCCAGCCGGACCTCAGGAGGCTGTTTCCTGGAGACCCTCCAGAACTCACCTCCAGTCTAACCTGAGACATCCCTCAGCAGCTCTGTTCTGCCCTGGACCTTCCCCTCCCCAAGGTGCACACAGCAAGAAGGGCTAATCTGTAGGGGAGAGCAGGGTTCCTCCCGGAAACCGAGGCAGCCGTGCTCTGTCATTTCCAATTTGTACAATGGATGGGCCTCTTCCCAGCCAGGACCCCTGGGGGACTGGAAACGATTCTGCATTCTAATTGCGGGAGTCTGCAAGGCCTCCCTGCTTTCTTGAGTCCCAGGAACACCAGGCACCCACATCAAAAGGGACATAGAGCAGCAGCACATTCCTCCCTCAAGAAAGCACAGAGGCTAGAGCAATAGCACAGTGGGTAGGGCATTTGCCTAGCATGCGGCCAACCCAGGTTTGATTCCTAGCATCCCATATGATCCCCCGAGCACCGCCAGGAGTGATTCCTGAGTGCATGAGCCAGGAGTAACCCCTGTGCATTGCCAGGTGTGACCCAAAAAGAAAAAAAAAAGAATGCACAGGTGTTGGGCTGGAGGGATAGTCCAGTGGAGAAGATGCTTTCCTTGCATGCACCTAACCTGGGTTCAATCCCTGGGATCCTATAGGGTCCCCCAAGCACCACCACCACATTTCCCAAGTGCAGAACCAGGAGTGACCACTGAGCATCACCCCAAAAACTGAAAGAAGAAAAAGGAAAAAAGAATTCACAGGTGGCCAGGTGCTGAGAAGGCAGGGATCCATGCACTTATCTCTGAGTCCTAGTCTGGTTCTGAGGGCCTCCCACCAAGCCACATGGGGCGTGCTCTGATGACCTGACCCACTGGGGACACCCTTCCTGCACCCCCTCATGACTGGGATGGTCATGAGGCTTGGCCCTCCCCTCTCTCCGACAGCCTGCCTGCTGCCTTACCCCTGCCCTCGCATACCCAGTCTCTGGTGTCCAGCAGCTATAGGACAGATGGATACCCCAGACTCCCTCTCTTGTAGGTGCTAACGGAGGCCAGCAGCGGACAGGGCCAGCACCTGGTCCGTGTGCCCTTTTCTGGAGTGGAGGATTTCTTCATCCCCCCCACCAACCTCATCATCAACCATGTCAGGTGAGAGCTGCCTCCCACGGGGTCCCCCACGCCTCAGCGGGGTCCCACTCTTGTCTCTGTTCCCACCTGCTCCTCTCAGGTTGTCCTTGGGCCCTCTGGGGAAGGGACAGAGCATGAGTCCTTCCCTGATGTTCATGGTTCAGAGTGAAGAAAAAGGTCCGTGAAGATGAGGAAACCTGGCCTGGAGATGAGGAACCCAGAGGCAAGATGGGACCCGGCTCACCTTCTGCTTGCCAGATGAGGGGAACCAAAAGAGGGGTTTGACAGAGGCAGAAACGGGTTCAGAGACATTCAAACACTGACCCAGATCACACAGCTAGAAGCATATACAATGAACCCACAGAGCTTGACCCTGCTTCTTCCTTGCTCTCTGCTCTCCACAGCCCGGGGTTGCTCTTAGGAACCTCAATCACAGTGGGGAAGGGGGTCCCCACCAGGAAATGAGCTCTGTTCCACGTGATCTTTCCTTGCTCCTCATTCAGAGACCACTCCCCCCCTTTCTGTAAGTCTTCTGTAAGCCAGGAGTATAATCTTACCTCAATCACCGCCAGGAAAGGGGGTCTGTTTGCAGGAGGGTGCTGGGCTCAAACAGAAGGGAGTGCCCGTGGATCCTTGCAAGGGAAGAAAATGAGCACGTAGCCCCTCCCCACCCTACACACACACACACCAGTCCTGGAAGAGCCCCAAAGGTGTAAGTGGTGAGACCCCTCAAGTCCTGCAAGCTTGAGTGCACAGAGGGGAGCACATAGCACGTCTCTCCCACTCTTAGAAGATACTTTCTTGTGAGCACTTTCCCCACTCAGAAGCACTATTATTTGCGTGATTTTGGACAAGAGTATTCTCACTTTCTGTTGGGATACATAGTGCCCAAAGGCATCCATGGGCAAGACAGGAAGTCCTGTCAGAGTCAGGCCTTTGTGCAGCTAACACACAGCCTGCAGAGAGGGGGCTCACAAAACCCAGAGGGGAGCAGCTCCTGGCCCCATGCCTGCTTAGAGGCAGACAGCCCCCACACCCCCCCCCCCCAGCTCCCAGTCACAGCAGACCATCACTGTCTACTCAGCAGAACCAGCTCCTTCTTCCTGCTCTGCCTCACCCTCTCCCTCCAGCACAAGGCCCACAGATTGACCTCAGAGCACCCTGGGCCAGAGAGAGGGCTCGGAGGACTGAGCCCATGCAGGAACCTCAGATCCAGCACTGCATGGACCCCCAACCTCTGAGTATCCCCAGAGTGCCTCCAGATAGACTCCAAAAGAACAAGAAAAAAAGGAACCCCAAAGAGGCCCCTGGGCCCCCCTTTACCTTTCTCAAGATCTTTATTATGATCCAAGGAGGTAAATCTCTGGACCACTGCAGCCCATGGGGTGACACTCATCCCTGACCCCCTGAGTGGCTTGCCTGCTGCAGGCTCTGGAGAAGGGCTGCGGTCCTTGACAGGGCAGCCCCCCCAACCCCTGACAGCCCTTCCTCCCACACAGGTTTGGCTTCATCTTCAACAAGTCGGACCCCGCTGTTCACAAAGTAGACCTGGAGAGCCTGGTGCTCGTCAAGACCATCAGCCTGGAGGGCCATGGCTGCGTGCCCCAGGCCATGGCCCACACACACCTGGGTGGCTACTACTTTATCCAGTGCCAGCCGGGTCAGGGCAGTGCCCCGCAGCTGCTCCTGGACAGCGTCACGGACTCTGTGGTGGGCCCCAACGGCCACGTTGCCGGCACCCCGCACACGTCCCCCGATGGGCGCTTTGTGGTCAGTGCCGCCAGCGGCAGCCCCCAGCTGCATGTGCAAGAGATCACCGTGCGAGGCGAGATCCGGACCCTCTACACTCTGAGAGCCAGCGGGGGTATTGGGGACGTGGCCTTCCAGCGCTCCTTCACCAAGGGCAACCAGTACCACGCCTACGCCACGCTGGAGGCCGAGCCCAGGCTGCTGTTTGTGGAGCTGGCCACAGGGAAGGCGGGGGTGCTGCAGAACTTGAAGGAGCCACCCCAGGACCTTGCCCGGCCCCGGGGAGCGCCCCACAGGATCGTGAGGGACAGTGGGTTGTTTGGACAGTACCTCCTCACACCGGCCCAGGCATCACTGTTTCTAATCAACGGGAGGCAGAAGGCCCTGCGGTGTGAGGTGGCCGGCGTTCCGAGGGGGACCACGGTGGTGTGGGTGGGCGAGGTATGAGGGACGCCCGAAGACAAGATCCCCCTGCCTCCCCAGAAAAGGAGGCCCACCTGGTCCGGACCCCGCCAACCCCCAAGCTGGCGCGCTCTACATTTTCACAGACAAAAGCAAAATCTGTCTCCACTTCGTGGCTCCACACTGGTCTCCTTGCAGTGTCCCAGGCTGAGGCCTGCACTGCTAGAGAAACTGGGGTGCCCCCCCGGGGAGACTGATCCTCTGTGCCGAGAGCCCTGGTGCCCAGGGAAGGGACCAGCTGCTCTGCCTGTCCCTGCGGACCCAGGGGCAGTGTCCCACCTATCCCCCTGTGGCCTTCACGTCCCTGCGCCCCTCCACCACCACCCGCGCCCTCCTCTGGGCCCCACTTTCTCCTCTCCAGCTGCTTCTTAATTCTCTTTCCTTTTGACTCGTTCTGGACCTGAGGCAGAACCAGCAGGTCATTGCCTCAGTGGGGTGGGGAAATCATCACTTTATTTTGCAAACTTTGATTAAAAATTAATTTTCTATAATTGCAAGTGCTAGTCAGCAGAAAGAGGCACTCTGGGGTCCAGCTTCCTGCCACTGGTCCACAAGCCTGCCTGTCTCCACACCGCTGACCACCCTCAGGCTGACCGCCATAGGGCGGACACGGGGACAGACCCCAGGGGCCTGCTTTTCACCACCAAAGGGAAACATTCTTTGAGTGGGGTTCAGCACCCCCAGTTCAGGACTGTGCTTGCCTGACGGAGCTGGGGGGCTGCAGAAACACCCCCGTCCAGGACATAGTGGGGTGTACACGGTTTTCTTAAGTGCACCCTTTCCAACCTAATGTCTTTGCCGCTGCTCGCTGCCTCCTCTCACCCATACAAAGAGCCTGTCTCAGTGTTTTTGGACCCACTGACAACATTCCAGCCCACAGAACAACCCTGAAACCTGGGGCCAGCCCAGCTGCATGTCCCAAGGGGCCTCAGTTTCCCCCAGTATCACATACCCACCCAGCCCCTGGGGAGCAGAACAGAGTGTCTTGGCAAGGAGGCTCCCTGGGGCTCCCAAACATCCCTTTTCCTCAGGTCAGGCACGCACACACACACACACACACACACACACACTTTCCAGCTGGGATCATCCTCTTTCAGATTACCTGGCATTGGGAGAGGGAGCCCACCACAGACCCCTCAGCAGGCAGGGCCCCCCTGCACCGTGGTCCTGATTTTCTTGCCCAGCTGAGGTGTGAGCCCTTTCGGGGAAAGCCAGCACAGAGTCTGCCTCACACTCAATATCACAGCCCCCCACCACCCCCCGACTGTCCAACCCTCCAACCCCCAACCTCTGCTGCATCCCATCACCCAGAGCAGGACCAAGGGAGCACTCGTGGTTCACCCCTCTGAGGAGATGCAGGCACAGACAGAAAGGGCCCAGCCTTGCTTCTCATCCCTGCCTCAGTCCCAACCCCTACTTTCATCAACAAAAGTCTCCAACATTCATGAACTTCTCCCTTGGGAGGAAAACTCATGGAAATTTGAGGGAGCCCCTGGCAGACACAGTCTCTGTGGCCCTGTGAAGAGAACCCTCACCCCCGGCTCCAGAGTGATGCGACACCTGCCCACACAGCTTTGTCGAGGGAGGGGCTTCTGAGGAATCGGGCCCATCAGCCTCCACCCCTGCCCTTCCTGAGTGGCTTAAGAAGGGCAGGACCATCACTGTAGACTACAGGTCGCCGCCAGCTCCAGGATACAGCAGTTGGACACAGCCCAGGAGACAAATTTATGAAAGACTGGAGGATGGAGGAGAGTCGAGTTTCCTCAGCAGTGCCACCAGCACAGGAAATCCCGTCAGGCCCTGGTTCCTCGCCGCTCCTTTGCAGCCCCCCAAGTCACAGTTTAATTTGATGACCACTTGCTTAAGTCACGCCTGCAGGTATGAGCAGTAACCCCAGCATGAACACCGAAGGTCCGTGGTCACCAGCTCTTTCTCACCACAGAAGGTTTCCTGATGCCCAAACATCACCCCCAAAGCCACTGACACCGTGAATTTAAAAAATGACCTTAGAAAAAAAATTTCACCAAAAAAAAAAATTAAAAACACAGATTGTGCTCACTCATAATAGCACCCCAATAATAATCTATACTGCTAGGAGAGTATGGATTTGAACCACGCCTTCACGGTCCAGCCCAGGAAGCTGACCCCTGCCTGCAGATCCTAGGTCCCAGAAGGACAGTCGGCCAGAAGGGGTTCTGGAGGTGTGAGCCAGTGCGGACCACTGCAGAGCGGCCTGGCAGGAACCCATGCCCCAGCAGAGGCTGCAGCTGCCCTGAGCAGCACCCACAGGCCGTGGCTGCACCCCGCCTGCTCCCTAATCCCCGGCCTTCTGCAGGAGAGAATCTCAAGAAAGCAGCTCAGTAGAAGTCTCCCGAGACTCCTTCCTCTGCGCATGAACACACTCCAGTCCCAGGCGGGTTCTGGGAACCAGCTTTGAACCCCAATAAAGCAAAGTGCACCCTGCCTGGACCTTTAGTAAGCAGCCTGGAGGTGGCTCCCGGCATCACACGTCTTGTTTTCTGTTGACCACGAACCTGTGAACTAAAGGACATTTCAGAACTGAGATGTGAAACAGATTCAGTCTGGATATATTTTTCTATGAGGGGCTTCAAACGTCATGGACTCCTCTCTCACCATTGCGCTTCACTCAGACCCACCCCGCAGACCCTCGACCGTCTCTCTCCCCACCCCACCCCTGCCCCTCATCCACAATCTACCTCACATACTGACATCACCTGCAGATGAGAACCAGCCGTAGGCCAGAGAGGCAATGTGGGGTGACTTTGACTGCCAACACGGAAGTCCCGTGCCAGCTCCCACTCCAAATGCACTCAGAACCACACAGCCCCTTGCTGCCCAGTGTCCCACCTGCTACACCAACACCCAAACCCCCTACCATCCCCAAGTTAGGCCACGGAGACCTGGAGAGTGTCAGGAAACCAAATGCAATTGGGTAGGAGCGGCCAGACAGGAGTGGGGAGACCATGACATCAGCCGGGCCCTCTTCCTGTGGGGACACGAGCTGACCCTGCTCTGCCACAACAGCACCTACAATCCAGGGCCACACTGACCTCACCTCCACAGAGGGCCCATGACCTTTGCCCCTGCTGGTACCCCACTTTGGGGTCCAAGTTAGAAGTCTCTCAAATACTACTGTTTGCCCCGCAACTGACAGACCAAGGTAGACCAAGCAAGTTTTGTTCAAGAAAACCTCTAGCTGCCTTGGTTTCCCTCCAAAATCATAGTGCTCACAGGCTGAGGCTTAAAGGATCCAAGAGCAGGGGCAGAGAATGCCTGTCTCCACGATGTGACCGTGGAACCCCAGCCACTGGTAACATGCCCACTTCTGCCTACTGTCTACACCAGAGGGCCTCCCACTTCTGCCTACTTTCTACACCAGAGGGCCTGCTAAACCACTTGAGGATCGGAGCACAGCAAACCAGGTCAACGGCCTATGAGTCTGCAGCTACGTGGGAGGATCAACGACACCCAGTGTGTCAACTTCCGGAGTCCGCATCTCTGTCCAGAGCCATGGCTCCCATGCCCTCTTCCTGAGGCCACCTGGACTGACACAGGTCCTTCCCTTTTCCACATGGGCCAGACGACACGCATCATATTCCAGAGGGCTCCGCGGGCTTAGCTTGTATCCCCACAAAGCAATAAATGATGAATCACCCTGACCCCAAGTCTGGTAGCATGAGGCCCTCCCCATCAACATGGCCAGAGGGGTATACGTGACCCTTTGGAGACACCCCCCCCCCACACACACACACACACACCTCCTCTGCATGACAGAGCTTCGTCTCCAAGAAGGCTGACCTGACCCTCGTAGTCAGACTGTCATGAGCTCTGAGAGGAGAACATTTCCAGAACCATCCACTGGCTGGCGTGACCACTGCCAGAGGCATAAAAGTCCTTGGTCCTCTGTGACTTCAGCTGCTTCCGAGATGAGGGGCCACAGTCTGTTAGGTGCCCCAGTCCAGACCCACAGCACCCGCTTCTTGGCTCCCCTACCCACACCTGCTGGCCTTTGTGACTAGCCAGTACCCCGTCCCCAGCCCAGCCTGTCCCCTCTCTCCCTCGCTGCCTGTGCTTGGGAAGGCCGTGTGAGGGGCTCTCAAAGCAGAACTGGGCATGGAGTTTTGCTGGCGGGGTCCCACACACCTTCGTGCTGTCATATTGCTGAATGACCCTCGAGCTAACTAAGTCATACACACCATAGGTCCCATTCAGATCCCTCCCCACCCCCCAACACCCCACCCACCTCAGAAATCTCCAATCTCTTATGTCAAGGCAAATCACGTTATTTTGAGCAGTTGTGTATACTCCAAAATATATTTTCTGTAATCACTGGTATTTCTCAAAAGCCCTCCTGGAATTACTATACATGTGAATTTTTCCTTATTTATAAAATATATATAAATTATTTTTAATACATCAACTTTAGTAGAGATTTGTACCGACACAGGAGCCGGACGTGATGTTTGAAATAAGTTTGTGTTTACTTTGATGTTTCACCCAGTAGCGGACATACCAGGTCTCTCCACTTGATAGAAAGATGATTCACAGATTATCATTGAGTATTGTCACTGTAAATGCTCTTTTTCTGAGGATTTTTTAATAAAACCCAAGAAACGTGACTGTTTTCTAGTACCTGTATGTCCACAACTATTCAGGAGAGCTGATAAAGGCAGGAATTTGGGGCTGTCCTGCCCACCCCTACCTGCCAGTGAACCCAGAAGCTGTTGTCCATGTGGTAAAGAATCTGCTCCTGGGGCTGGAGCAATAGTACAGTGGGGAGGGTACACAGCTTGTACACAGCTGACCCACGTTCGATCCCCAGCATCCCATATGGTCCCCCAGGCACCACCAGGAATAATTCCTGAGTGCAGAACCGGAAGTAATCCCTGAGCACCACTGGGTGTGACCCCAGAAAAAGAAAAGAAAAGAATCTGCTTCCAGATACACAGCCCAGGGGCTGGGAGGTAACACTCAGGCTGGAGTTGTGTCTATCCCTGAGCTCACTTCTCTGTCTTACACACACCTGCACCCCGCCACAGTATCACACTGTCTGCACAGGCACAAATGGTTAAGTCTGCACTGCCAGACCACCAGGTTGGGTATCACGGTGTTGGGGAGGGGGGAGGGTGGCAGTACCCCAGGTCTCTGCACACCACCAAACATCTGGCTCTAAAGTGGTCTCTCTGGACCAGGACCAGGTGTTGCAAGGAGGTAACATGCATGACACCCTCTTGGTAACAGTAGCATAAACTCTGGTTTCTAAAAGGGGAGGAGAAAAGGAAGAAAGAAACTAGTGCCTGCCAAGAGGCAGGCTGGGTGGCAGGAGGGAAATGGAACATTGATGGAGGAAGTGGACATTGGTGAAGGGATGGGTTTTGGAACATGGTATGCCTGAGACTCAATCATGAATAACTTTGTAACTCTGTAATTCACCTTGATTCAATTTTTTTAAATTCCAGGAGGACAAAGCAATAATACAGCAGGTAGGGTGTTTGCCTTGCACACAGCCAACCTGGATTCGATCCCCAGCATCCTAATATGGTTTCCCAAATACCACTAGGAATGATTCCTGAGTATAGAGCCAGGAGTAACCCCTGTGCATCACTGAGTGTGGCCCCAAAACCCAAAGAGTAAAAACTAAAAATAAATAATTTTAAATTATATGTATATACATATATATGTACACACACAC